CAAAGCGGTGGATGCATCACCGCGGTTGACGGCCGCGGTGAATGCCCGACTTAACACTGAAACTTCAAACAAACGTAACTTTGCGCTCGGTTATCCAATTGTAGCGAATTTTTTTTTTGATTCCATATAACTTTTCAAGATCTTTCAATCTTCAACGATACTTCATCTAAAAAAATGTCGTTTGTTACCCCGAACGAGCAATTTTTCGATTTTGCCAAACTTTGGAAGGACGTAACTTTTAGCTCCTCAATCCGAACGTCGTAAAGTTTTTTTTATTGCGCATAACTTTTTAAGAACTACAACTTTGACTAGGAAATAATTTTTTTAAAAAGAAGTATTTTGGGTATACGAGATTTTGGGAATAACTTTGCCTTTACTTTTCACAAATCCACATACTTTCCAAAATAATGGTTATAATCAAAGTTGTAGAAATTCAAAAGTTATTCAAAATAAAAAAAAGTTTCATGACATTCGGATTGTGGAGCACAAAGTTATGATCTTCCAAAGTTTGTCAAAATCGAAAATTTCCTCGTTCGGGGTAGCAAATGATTTTTTTGGGGGATGAAGTCTTATTTCAGATTGAAATATCTTGAAAAGTTATGTGGACTAAAAAAATTTCTCTACAATCGGATAATCGAGCGCAAAGTTACGTTTGTTTGAAGTTTCAGTGTTACGTCAGCCATTCACCGCGACCGTCAACCACAGTGATGCATTCACAGCGGTGATGCCCAAACATGTGTATTTTTGGAAAAAAATTTATAACGTGTGTATTTTGAAATTAAAAAAAAAACATGTATATTTTGGAAAAAAATTTCCCAGAAGAGCGTCCTAACGAAGTCCAGAAAGGGCAAAAAGGAGAATATAAGTTGGGCTGTAAACGACAGTTGCAAAGTGGGCCGAAAAGGAGGCGATAAGGGGGAAAACGAAATAAAAGTTTGCCAAAAGATTTTTTTTTTTATATAAACAAGTTTGCCAAAAGAATTTCAATCTCCTAAACGCGTATGGGAAGAGAAAAGATTGTTGTTTTCATGGGGGGAAAAGTTGTCTCTTTCGGGTAATGAGTTGTGAGGAACAAACCCAATTTCTCTTTAGCATATTGATGCATTGCCGTGTTAGCATATGTGCTGATAAATTACTGAAAGCCGACGCTTTGAATTCAATTGAAAAAAATTTGGTGATTTCATAAATTGGATTAATATGTTGTTGGAAAACTAAAATTTCATACTATATATTATATATTTGATAATGTGATACCTAAATTTTGATTTTTTTTCAAGAAAATATAATTCAAAATTTATATTTTGCTACCTAGCTAGCTAAATGGTTTTATAATGATATTTCAATACCTAAACTTTTTATAATTTTCCTATGGTCCAACGCTTAGATATCTCATGAATCCGTAGTTTCATTTAGTTCAATTTATAAATCCACCAATTCATATATCAAATCTATTTTCATGTCAAATTCAATTCTTTAACCGCAAGCAACAATAATGTCAAGATGAAAGTCAACAAATAAGATGAAACAAATACCAGAAATACATCAAAGCAAATAAAAAAAAAACTTAATAAATTCCCACATTGGGAAAGTGATAGATAAAAGGGCATAAGAATTGCATTATTTTTGTGGACATTGAATTAGATGGAACCTCCACCAAAAAAAGTTCAAGAAATGGCAATCCTTTTTGGAGAGGCACAAGAAGCTTCATTAGTTCATCGACCACCACCACCATAATTTTGTTTGGAGTGGGGAAAACTGGTCTCCACCACTGACAGAGACACACCTGGCGCGATGGAATTCTTACAAGTGGCAGCCGCAAAGTCGTTTTTTTTTTTTTTTTTTTTTTGTGGGGATGCATGTCTAAGATGTCTTCCTTTAGTTACATCCATTGGCAATGGGAAATCATTTGAGACATGAGCCCCCACATTCTTGGAGTCGGAATTTGTGGTTTCCTTCCATTTGTTTAATAGCCACTTCTGTACAAGTGAATATTAACTAAAGTCAAACGATTTCGAACTCATAAATAAAACTTATCATTTCGATTATTTCATCTGGCATTTTATTGACTTACATTTTCAACGAACCCTAAGCAAACCAACTAAACTAAATTTTCAACCAACCTCAAAGCAAACCAACTAAACTTAAACATATCATGTTGATGAGCATACAAGGAACACATGTTAGCGAACTTGTTTTGGATTTGGTGGATTCCAAACTTGTTGAGCTTGTGTATCGATTGAATAGTCTCTTCAATCGTGGTCGTGCAACTACTCGTCGACATTCGCACGGTGTTATTGTCTGTTCTTCGACTCTCTGACTCTGTAGTTTGTTCATGACTATGTTAAAAAAAACTACCCTTCTATACCATACGAGCTTTCCCCAGGTGTGGAATTGTCCGTTAGTTCCGTTTTATCCAAATTTCGTATTAAGAACACGTTGTTCTTGATTCGAGTTCAATCAATCTTCGGATTGATTGTTTGCTGCGTGACTTTGACAACATACAACCCCGTATCTAGTACCGACCCATGACTCCCGTCGTGGCCTACAGACATCGCTACGAGCCAACCAGGCTAGCTTAGGAGTATTATATACATGGCAAGTCATCTACTCATACATGTAATACGGCTTATGTTATACGATGAAAGAAGTGTAGCGGTGAAGTTTTCGTTCGATATATCAATATTCGTAACAAGAATCGTATAGAGGCAAAATGTGAAGTAGTACTACTCTCCATCATCAGGTGTCATTTCCAGCTACTTCTTAATTCTTCATTCATGGAAAAAAAGAAAAGTTAAAAGAATCATATTAGCATTTAGCTCCAGCTAGTAACCCTAATTTTTCAATTTGACGACATTGCTTCATGCACTATAAGAGATGAAGAATCGTTGTCAGAGAAAAGCTATGAAGATGAAGGTTGATAACGAAGAGCTTTGCTGGCTAGTAGTCGAGTTGGACTTGCACTGGCTACATGCGTAGGAACTGGGGGAGTATATATTACACACAGAAAACTTAGAACAATAATGCAGGTGGTGAAAATGACGCTGGAAATGGGCTTTCGATATAAAAACAAGCTGGCATGGATTCGAGTGGAATTTGTCTGCTAGTGTTCATTTTGTCCTTTTTATAGAATTTTTAAAAATAAGGGGGAAAGTATAAAGAAGAATTTGAGCTTATAAATTATAGGGTTGATGTGCCGTCTAAAAAGATATGGCACGAACTGGAAAGCACTCTTTTTTATTTCCCAGGATTCTTTCTGGGATGGAAACATGAACTGATTTATATGTATAATGTGAGAAAGGGATGCATTGATGCTGCAAGGTTGTGAGAGAGAGTGGCTTATACCTAGTTGAGTAATTGACATGAACAGCTATCTTGATGATGATCGACCATAGAAAAATTAACATAAAGTCGGCCACTTTAATCATTCTGGTCGCGACGTTCTCAAACCCACAAGTGATATTCTTTATAATGAAAAATAGAGAATCGGGATCGCCTAGGTTATACAATTGATATCTTTCTTATATCATCACAAATCAAAAAAAAATTATAGGCGGTGTCAGTTTCGGAAGTCGAATCGCGACGTGTATTAGTTTCTGAATAATTATAGTTTCCAAGTATTTAGGTTTTGATGCAAGTTGAACATGGTTGGGCAAACTACCTCTGTCGGTAGCTAGATTGACACCTACAAATCTACAACTAAACATTTTTGGACAAAAAGTATCATCTCTTTTTTTTTTTTAAGATTTCATGATGAAATTCGATATTGGTGCACCGTGCACGAGTAGAATATTTAACTTCATGTCGATATAAACAAGTATATAATTTGACTTTTAGAGTGGAAAGATAACAAATCTTATGGTATAGTGGGAAGAAGAGGAAGTTTTATTCACTTTACCATAAGATTAGGAAGATGCCTTTGAGGTTCTAGTTCATGTATACTTATTATTATGGAGGCTAGCTATAGCTAGTTAGGTCATAATCAAGATTCCCCAACTTTCAAGGTGATTGGCAGCCCAGAAAATCTTGGGCCTCACACCTTACTAATCTGAAAGGAATTCAATCAATCCGATTTTACTGATCCTGCAACTCATATATGTCTGTAATAATGTCAACTCATAATTTATAGTTATCAAATAGATTCCGATGAACGACTTTAATCTGTAATGGAAAAGATGTCATTTTGTCTATCAAAGTTTAGATAGAGTTGTTCACTTAATGATAAAACATATTCTTTTATTAAAGTACGGTTATACACGAACTATCACATTTGGTTATCGTCAGTTGTATAACCTTGTTGCTCGACCATCCCCTTGAGCTTATCTTGGAGAAAAAAAAAATATGTAGGAGTAACCAAGGCACATTAGGTTAGGTTAGATGAATATAGGTATTTTGTACCCTTGCCAAAAGGGGGATGAATTGATTCATTGCCCATGAGGTGAGTGGGCTTAGCTAGTGGAGAGTGGAGCAAACAAAATATGTTGAAGGGTGGGAGGGTCGTCTTGAATTTGACCCACCACCGCTTCCCTACAAAACATTTCTATGTGCTTCCATCATTATTTTTCTTCTTTTCATTAATTTACACCTATTTATGTCACATTGATCATGATAATAGAAGACATTACATTAATTCCCATTTTTGTCTAGTTCCCACCTCTAGATTTTGTCTTCTTGTGATGGTGGCTTGTTCAACTTAAAAGCTCCCCTTGCTAGAGGTAAGATAAACTAGATGTCAAAGTAACTTAACCACCACCCACTTATAACCGTCTGGATCCACTTAGTTCCATCGCACTTTAACTATATCGTCAAGGATTTTGATCACTGCTCATAAGCATAGAACTTATTCCATGAACAATCGTTTATCGTTTCGGAAATCACTTATGAAGACGTGCTAGATACCGTTACTGGTCGTAGAAATCCCGATAAAACATATAAAAAATCGACCGTCACATTATATCACATCCTGATTTAGGAGTTTCATTTCACAAATCTCATCCCACATGTCTCATTTCTAATGTTGATTAGAGATAGACATAATTATGAACTATAAGATCAGATGAGATGAACCTCTGTATTTTAATGATGATTAGGCGCTCGAAATCATTGTGTGACCTAAACCCACAAAGAGATTCAGAAAAAGTTTTAATGTGTAATCGAATTGCAAAGAAAAGCATGAAGAAGAGAACAAAGAAACAAAGCTAGTGGTGGGGCATTTTTTGCCAAATGTGAAAATGTGTGGGGCAAAAAATGTAACGTTTGGAAATGAATGGGGAAGGTTTGTTCGTATAACTCTATTACGTGTAACATGACAAGAAGTTTTGTTTTTTTGGTGGGTAGAAGAAGGATCCAATTGTACTTTGATCATACAAATGTGTTGAATCATTGAAGGAATGGAGGGACCAAATTGGCAGCCAAGTCACCATTTTGGAAGATTCCCATTGGCCCAATAGTTGTCTTGTATCTCTATCTCGTGTTCTTTTGCTATGAACTTGGACCTATGTCTTGTTGATGGAATGTGGAATCACAATTCACCAGCTCTTTTTCTTTCTCTTGTCATCTCTGTCCCGACAAAAGTTGGATGGAAAAAAAGAGCAAAGAAGGTAAATGAGAATTGAGACCATAACCGAAAGAAAAAATTGGATGACTTCCCCCACGAAGAGACAAATTCCGAGTGTCTTTTTGTAATGTGCCACTTGTCATGGAATAGTTGGTGCATAGATAAATTAGGTACAATTTGTCCTATCTCAATGCAATCCTTCTTGGGAGTACTTTCTACAACTTTGGTTAGAAATGTAAGTTTTGTGAAAGAACTGGGGATCACGATTAGGGTTCTTAGCTGGGAGGTAGTTATGTAGCGGGTTGAGAGTTGAGAATAGAATTAGGGATTTGATGAGTCAAATAAGGGAATTTGAGATGAGAAAGAAGTAGAGGTTGGTTCCTGGGAGAAGGGAGACCGACGGCAATAAGCTAGGGAAAATGAAGAATTTCGGCGTGTAGGGAATAATTATTGGGTTATTGTTTGTCCTCTAATTCCCTCGTAACAGCGAATATATATAATCTGACTAATTCCCTATAACAATCAGAACAATAAATCATAACAAGTAACTCTCAATAGTCTCCAAAATATTCCACCTAACATCCAAATATCTTGAATAAGAAATAAACGACAAACGAGTCCAAAATAATCAGTTTCTGACAGTTTGGGTACTTTCTTGTTAACGAGACAAAATGAACAAATTCATAAAGAGATGAGAAAAATGGAAGAAACCACAAGAGATGGATGAAATTACGTGACTTGATTAAGATTTTTTTAGCCGCATACGACTTCTTTAGAGAATGCTATGACCTAATTTCACATATTAATGGTAGTAAAACAATCACAAGCATCGAGCCAATAGAAATATGTAAAAAAAGATAAGAGATAAAGTATCCATATCATGGTACAAAATTTTAGTGCATATATCCTTCTTCATCAGTTAAACATAAAATCTCGAGTATTAAGAACAATGTGAATAGCAAGAGCAATCACCACTCCAAAGTCTTTGCATACATTGTAAAGCAAAATTCTAATTTTCCAGCTCATGGTGAAAACAAAGATCACTGCGAACAGTGTTGTTGGTCTGCAATTGCACATCTCTTGGTGTAAAAAGCCCTTCTCCATCAATGTAATACCCAACTTCAGCATTTCATTTTTGAGTTTCGCACACCAAAAAAGAACAATGTTGCAATAACTGCTTGTGAATCACAAACGTCTCGAGTCCAGAACACTCCTATCCATGCAGAAGGCTATAAACTAACCAAATCCAGACATCCCTCTTTGGAAGAGGTTTCCACTCATACTAACCAAAACCAGTTCCACCAACTTACACCTCCATCCACAGACACTCGAAGCAGGGAGATTCGATCTAAACCCAAAACCACAACGTCCCGTGTGCTCATCAGCCTTCAAAAAAGTTAGTTGATCTTTGCCCTTGAGAAATCCATCTCTGGATGCTGGAATAACCAAAACCGATTACCACCAGGTTAGCAGCTAGGCGAGAATAAAGGTACTGGGAAAGCTTAGAGATTAGAGGTTTAATATTTGGCAGACTCACCTCGGCCATAAACTTCTTCAGAATATCCTGTTTCTGAATCTCATCGCTGGTTGGGCGGCCCATCTGCTTCTGCCTTTGATCAAACTGCAAGTATTGTTATGCACGAAAGACTAGTTAGAGTTGATCGAAGTACAGTGCTTCCTAATTCCTATGCAGAAATAGCACTCCCGTGATCACAACAGAGATTAGAGAGGGACTGGCATGTGGTTGACCACAGGATTATAGGGGTGGAGTAACGAATTAAAAGGGCACAGACAATTTACCATCATCTTCTCGACAGTCTGGCGTGTTTCAGGGTCCAGGTCAGCAAGCTTGCTGTTTTCAGGTTCAACCTTTTGTGTATCGATTTCAGGACCTCCTTTCACCAGAGATTTCCACCATTCCATTTGGTCGTGCTTGGTCAACAGAACTGAGATAGTGTTCTGATCCTCTGTAGACACCATAAAACTTAAATTAAGCAAACATGCTGAAGTGCAAGCAGCCATTTATAGCACCAAAGTACATATGTACATAAATGCCGTCACACACATACACACTCGACACAGGCTAACCAAGTTAAAAAAAACAGCACAAATATATTACTTTGGGACATTTGGCTACCTTTACTAATTCTGCTCTCTACATGCAGGGCGACTATAACTGGAGAAATAAGCCAACATAGACAGATAGGCAAAGGCCTGGTTGCAAGCATTTCAACAAAGACGAGGGTACGAGCCACTTTGATACTATTATCAGCGCAAGCGAGGACATGTTCAGTATGCATACAATGGAAGCATAGCAAGCAAGTGATTCAACGGCTAAAAGCTCAGAAGGACATAGGGGATTGAAAAGTTCAACATACCTATGCTCCAGTAACAATCATCAACCTTGATAGGCTTGTAGAGTTCCCCCTGCAATATTCAAAAATTAGAGGAGTTGCAGAATGCAAAAGGGAAAGCTAAGCTCAAGTTACCATTTATTAAGATTCTACCTCAAGAATTGGAGGCTGACCCTTGAGTCCAATTTTCAGGTGGTTCTTCTTTATGTCACAGACTACGAATCTTGACTTAGTCCCATGAGGAACGGGAACCAGCACGGTAACCTCTTGCAGAGTCTGCGTCCATGAGTAGTTGTCCAGATCAAGTCCATTGCCCTTATTTGGGACTGTCGAAGTCATAACAAAGCACGACAAGTCAAGCCCAATACAAGCAGAATCAAGAAAGATACTAATCTTCGTAACCCAAGGCATACAATATGAAATGAAGTACAGAATAAATTCTTGACAGCAGAACAGAGAGAGATTGTCTCCAGACACAACAGACAACTTCCCCTACTCTAATCGAGCCGGAAAGGAACTATAATGGCATGGCTATATCTTCCTATGTTCAACCATTTATCTAGGCAGTCCTGGAATTCAATTCACAAACAGAGAAGTTTCACGAAGCAGCAAAATGCAAGACTAAACACACACTGTCATAACCCTGAATCAAAAGTCCGCGTAAAGAAAACAACGATTTTACCTCTGGCGCCCTTCTCTTCCTCCTTCTCGGGCTTCTTCTTCTTCTCTTTCTCTTCCTCCTTCAATCTCTTGTTGCTCTCGGAAGCCTTAGCAGCGGCGGCCATCTCTCTTTCCGCCGCCTCCTCCTTCCTTTTTCGCTTCTCCTTGGCAGCCTTCGCCACCGCCGCGATCTCTTTCTCCGCCGCGTCCTTGGAGAGGTAGTCGCTCTCCGCGGCCAGGAAGTCGAAGAGTTTCTCCACGATCCCTAGCGGATTGCTGGGATCGAAAGTGGCCGTGAAAGTCGAAGGCTGCGCAGGCGGCGAGACGGCCGACGAAGAGGGCTTCGTCCCGCTCTCTTCTTCCTCGTACTCGGAGATCAACGCCATGGCTGATTCCCTTCGCTTACCTCGATTTACCGCGCCGACGAGGGTTTAGCGATGTAGGCGGGAGAGATGAAGAGTGATTTGTTCTAGAGGTATAGTAAGGAAATGCAAAGAAGCTCAAGACAGAGATGTGGAGGATTCCAGAAGGCTTTTGCTTGTGGAGAGAGAGTAAGTGAGCAGCTATTTCATTTTACCCGCTAATTGCTTGTGGGCCTGGTATACCAAATATATAGCCCAGTTATTTTCCAAAACAGAAGCCCCAGTTTCATCAATCAAATACAGGCCCAAAAATGAGCTGTATCTTACGTCAGAAACCCTCAGATCGTGTTAAATTAAATCACATTGACTAATTGTAATTGAGTATACCTCTGGATACGATGGGCTAAGATCAGGTGATTAGGGGTCCTTTAGTTACATGACTAAGTCAATCTCCACCTTTGCACCTCATTAAAATTTAATGACCCATATTAATCCAATTTAATAAAGGTCAATATAGTAATTGCATGATTATTTAATTTATTAATTTATATAATAAACAAAGAAAAATTAATTTGGCCGTTGCTGCCTTCCGACTTCCGCAGTTGCCCCGGCCGGAAAAATTTCCCGGCGACTCCTCTAACCGGCGGCGACTCTGACTCTAGCTGGTGGCGTCTCCTCTGTCCATTTTATATTAATGTTGCTGTACATTTATTTTGGGCAGGAGACATGGGGAGAATGAATTGTCCCAGGAGAGAAAGACCCTCCCGCCACCGGTCCGTTTTTGGGAAAACTCCCGCCAACCACCATTTTTTGGTGTGGCAGAGAGAGAGAGAGATTTTCTGGTCGGAAATTTTTTTCCCGGCGACCATCGTCGACGGAGAAGACTTTTCCGGCGACAGTGCTTTGTGATGTTTGTTGACATATTTTGTAATGTTTGTACGCTTTGTTATTTTGTACTGTTTGTAAATTTTGTTATTTTTGTGCACCATGTTTGTAATGTTTTTATGTCTAAAAAACAACCTGGTTGACTTTTGGATGTAACTTCTCTATATAGGGATGAAGCCTCCAAAGTCAACCCGGGTGTTTTTTTCAGTTCATATGGATTGTCGGTCTAGTTTGTGATATTTGTCCACCATGTTCGTACTGTTTGTATGTCTAAAAAACACCCGGGTTGACTTTGGGAAGGAGCCCCTCTATATAGGGATGGAGCCTCCAAAGTCAACCTGATTGTTTTTTTTTTGTATGGTTTGTATTGTTTGTCGGTCTAGTTTGTATTTTTTGTACAGTTCATATGTTTGTAATGTTTATAAATCTATTTGTATGTTTTGTCGCTCTAGTTTGTACTGTTCGTATGTTTGTATGGTTTGTACTGATTGTAAGTCCGGTTTGTATACTTCGTAATTTTCCATAATACCAAAACTACTTCTGCCATTAATTAAATAGTCATTCTCATTTTCTAACCATAAGATTGATGTGTCCAGATCTAAGGGCTGTGAGCGTCTTAGTCAAATGACTAAGCACCCCTTAGTCACCAGATCCGCACTCGGATATGATAAGCTACATTGGGCCTTGGGGGCCATAAACTTTGATCCAGAGACATTAAAACGAAAAAAGAAAGGAAAAGGAAATTTCGATCTCTTCGTAGTTCGTTCTCAAGTTTACCGCCGCATCCTTTTAGTTCCTCCTCTCCCGCCTTCGTTAGGTTGGTTACATACTTGCATTACATCCGTATGTCGAGCTACGGCCATGGCGACCGGGAACTGCACCACGGTTTGCCATTCGCTGCTAATCCCACGAAACGTCGTCGAATAAGTCCAGACGGAAACCCTCCACCCCCTCTGATCAGCAAACTCGGGGACGATCTCCTCGTCGAAATTCTCATTCGCGGCCTCCTAAACCCTAGATTCGCCTGCCGAAGCAAACTCGTTTGCAAGCAGTGGAGCTCCCTGATCTCCAGTCCCTGCTTCAACCGCCGTTTCGTTGCTCGCCATCAGAGCAAGGAAGAAACGCCGCCATCCATCTCGAGCTTTCTCCCTGTGCCCGGTGAAGTTAGACGGTCGTTGTGGGTTTTGGATTCCTTCGAGGACTTGCTGCTATGCGGGTTTGCTGGGTTCGATAGAAACACCGATGGCGAACTTGGTCTATCATACCTCATCTGCAATCCGTTTACAAAGCAATGGATTGCCCTGCCTTTAGCGCCTGAAAAGTCATTTGAGCAGTGTCCTGAAGTGGTTGCCAGGTTAGTTTGTGAACCCCGTATCTCTAAAAATCTTGATCTAGGCGATGGCCAAGCAGCATTTGTTTACTCTGAGTATCGGTTCCGGGTGGTGTGTATATATACATTGGGGATGTCAACGATGCTAGACGTGTTTTGTTCCGAATCTGGAGAATGGACCAAGAAGGCTCTCGTTCTTCATGGTTATCAAGAAGAGGTTCGACTGAAGCCAAAGTCCTGCCACGGGAAGCTGTTTTGGGCCTATGCCGCCCTGTTGCATGTTGGTATTGTTGAGTTCAATCCTTTCCGCTTCGATATACCTCCTGTATTTATTCGTGATGATTCGATCTTCGAGAGGCCTGCTAAATCCTGGGGGTTTTCAGTCTCACATGGTGCTTTGCATCTAATTCAACTCGAAACTGAAACTACACCTGGTTGTTCAAGGAATGCCCTGATTGTTTGGAGATTGGAAGATGACCGGAGATCTTGGAAGAGACAACATGAAGTCTTGCTGAAGACAATGTGGCATGGTGATGTGCCCTGCAACATTGATTTTGATCTGCATCCAGAGAATCCAGAAACTGCCTTGTTAATACTTGGTCATTATAGTGGTAGGATCTTCTCCTGCGATTTGAGGAGCGGAGAGCTAGAGCAACTAATAACTACGAGAAGAGCTTATGAGCCTGGTTGGATGCTGTTCCAGCCTAGGCTTTCTTGCTGGCCTACTCCAATTCCAAGTTACAAGGAATTGCGAGGTTTATATGATGGAAGCTACAGCTGTTGGGTTCAACAGAGCAGCAATGAAGCTAAAACTCCCTCAGCAACAGGTAACTACTTCTGCTAGTGAGAATTTTATTTTCCAGTAGATGTGTATCTGCTAGGGTTTAGGTGCTCACTATATGAAAAGAAGGAAGTCTGAAAGAAAAATTTCCTTAGTGAACATCCTTCATAAAATCTAGTCTCCCCTGATAGGATAACGGGAGCAGTCTCGTGGCTTGCTTACTAGTTACTTCCTCCATTAACATTCTATATTATGCAGCACATGTATGCATGCCTCTCTTTTGTAATAAGTGATAATTTTGTCGTGCTTGCAAACACTTCATCCTAGCTTGTAATATGAAGTCATGTACAGGGAAGTGTTATGTATATTCTCTCTAATTTTCGTTCTATTTTCTGGTTCCTAATCTTGTGTCTGCTATTTTTATCCAGAGGATGGTTTAGTTGCTGCACCTACACAACGATACCAATCAGTTGATGGGATTGAACAATCTGGTCATCAGAGGAAAGACAACATATCTCAGCTAGGTAATCTGGAAACTTTTACTGCTGATACTCTTTGTCACTCAAATTAGAGTCTCGTGGCTTACTAAGTAGTTTGTTCTCAATCTTGTGCCAAGGAAAATCAATGGTACATCTAGTTTTGCTTCGTTTATCTATGCAGCAGAATTCCAGCCGTAGCTTGTTTGATGATCAGATATCGAAAAGCGAGCTGGTTCAACAATTTTTCTTGACCTATCTATCACTATGATTATCTATATTGTTTCTATACAATTATGTTCAAGTTCGACATAATAATAATTGCACAAGGCTCATCGTAAAACCGTAATAATTCTGATCTCCCTTTTTTCTTAATTGTGTTTTCAGTAATAGATGGACTTGGACTTCAACAGGCTCGCCAAGAGGTTCAGGAACTACAGTCCCGCCTGGAGAATGTAAACAGGGCCATTGTTCAGCTGCAAGCGTCTACAGTTTCGGCATCGACAAACAAGGATCTGAAGCTGTTGCATAAAAAGAAACGCAGAGTTTGTTCAGATTTGCTAACGGCCACAGCAGACTGCGAGATGATATCTCGTCTCCATCAAAATCTTCCCTTGGATCCTATGCACATTTCGATTCCTGGTGTTGGTGAGCTAATCGTGCCACTTTGAAGATCATGATGAATGGTGATTGTTAGGGCTCTCTGCAATTATCATTATGTCAGCCTTTTTTTTTTTTTTTTTTTTTTTTTTATATATCTCCAATAGATAGAATGATCTCAATTTGTTGTTAGTCAGCTGGTTCTTGAATTTTTTCCCCCCCATAATTTATTAGCCTAGTTTTTGAATTTTTATGAGTAAGAAAGTAGTTTGTCTTTGAATGTTCGCCCGTTTAGACACCCTTTCTTGGCAACTTCGTTTGCATATGTAATTTCCAGCTGCAGGTGCTCATTTCCTTTGAGGTCGGAGCTAGGTTGAAGCTAGGAGGAGCTAGTCGATAAGGCTCTAATCTCTCTCCCCTAATTATCACAATTCAAGTCAGCACTCTCTCAAATTTTTTGTTCCGACACTACATGAAAATAAATATCGGTGAACCGGACAATCCTTCAAATATCGGAAGAACAAATTATGACTAGATATGTGCAAGTTGTGGAGTTAGTTAGTTTTTCAGCTATTTCGATTTGTCATATTGGCTTAGAAGCAAAGTTGTCTTATCTTTTTGAATCGGTGTGTCACTGAATCTCAAATGATTTGAAGTTTATTGGTCGAATCGAGCATGGGCCCAAATGGCTACGAGTCAAATGGCCCGTCGTTGGAATGGAAAGAAGCACAAATGCATGGAACGTACACCCACAATGGCCGATCAATTACTCAAGAAAAAGGCAGTCCCGCAAATTTCGTTTATTAATTAGGTGTCGGAAAAGAAGTTGCAAACAAACGGCCGACGATCTTTTTGCCGTCTTGAAAACTTGCCACAAAAACATATATCTAAACCTTCACGTAAAGTAAGTAAACAACAATGTCTCGGAGATCAAAGTTAGCGTATTATATAAAATCTAATTTGGTAGCCGCCGTTAGCTGTCCATCTCTTGCTTCTTCTCTTCTCTCATACGTTTGGAAATATGTAACCTGTCACGATAATAAGTAAAATTTCAACACACACAAAACAACAACAAAATTAATGAAGTTAGTCTGTTGAAATTGACATCAGATAATTGAATCTAATTAAGGATAACATATCAGCGACTCAAATCATTAACCATTTATTTCATTGCGTAAGAAATGATATGTAACTTGTATTAATCTAGACTGTTGTATTGACATAAAAATGCGTCGTTTTTAAACGACCAAGGACTTGATCATCTCGCGGTTAAACCGTTAGTCTTCGATCTTGAAGTTTCAAATACGAATCTCTTTCGGTATCACCTAATATTAAAAACCTAAACATGTACGGCGTAATCAAGGGTATTGTTGACGTAAATAAATCATTAGTTTCTTACTCGCGCATTTGGTGCCGGGGCGAACAGTCTTGCCGCAGGAGGCGAAGACGCCGATCACCTTCCCGACGTCGACGAGGTCCTCCATGTCCCTCGTGATGTACGAGCACAGGCACGGCAGCAGCTTCGCCTTCCGTACGGCGTCGCAGCACTCCGCCGACGGCTCGTCGAGCGACGCCCCCGTCTTCGAGATCAGCCTCGCGCACCGCCTGATCACGTTCCTCGACTGCTCGTGAACGCACGACGATGATGATGATGACGTGGACGACGACGGAGACGATGATGTCGACGTGGATGACGACGGAGAAGAAGGTCGGGTGCAGGTCGTGACCCTGACGGCGGAGGCGCGGCGGATGTTGTCGGAGTTGAATATTAGGAGCAAGGAAAGCAAGAGCGCGGAGATGAGGAAGGGAGAAGTACTGAAGCTGGTGGTGGCCATATTGAAGATCGGTTTTGATTACGAAGAGGTTGTAGTAGTTAGTGAGATATAATTGTTAAAATTGGTGTGTTTAAGTATTTATGTGATTATGATTTATGAATTACGTGTATATTTATATGGTGGGGGTTCGGATTAATAGTTAATTAAATAATAATAATTACTAGAAATCAAGAGGCGTTGGTGGTAGTTTAATTTGGCGTGAAGGGGGCTTCATGTAAAGGAATGTTAGGAAAGTTGATTTGTGAATTGTCTTTGCATGTGCCTCTTGGAATTTTAGTTTTAGTGTATGCCTTTTGCACACTTAGATATTTAAGTTAGACTTAATACGATAGGGATGAAAGATAATGAAATGACAAACGTACATTTATATTTAGAAATAGAGCAACTAGTTTCCTGTGGCCTTTTATTAAAATGGTTACAAACGTTTACGATATAGTGGAAATGCTATATATCAAAATAGTATTTTTCGTGCGAGTAATTAAAAATTTGGTTCAGTGGTATTACCGTTGGTCTTAAACCTAGATGTTGCATGTTCGAATATCTTAAATAACACTATATTACTATAAAAACAAAACTATATTACCCTCTCTTTACAATATAACAAAAAGTTGTGTGCGTAACTCAGTTAGCTTGTTGGTATACTCATTGCTAATAAAAGAAGATCACACACACCTAACCAATCGTTAAACCTAAATGTTATCCAGAGCAAGCTACTGAGTATTTCTTATGTGAATATGACAGAAAGACACATAGTGATTGATTTGTTATATTTAACCAATCCATTCCGGTTCGACCGAATTGGTATAGAAGTTGTAACATGAGCAAACCGCAAAAAAAAAAAAAAATTCTTGATCCAATGTGTGATAGGTCATGCTCGTTAAACTTGTGATATGTATGCGACATTTTTGTTGACATTTGTGGTAATTCGTTACTCACTAAAAACTTATGCAATCATTTTGATCAATACCCCTTTCAATTACCATTATTCAAATCTTCCTTTTCTTTTTCTTCTTCTTTTTACTTTTCTTCTACTTCGCTTGAATTTATGATTTTGTCACGATTTTGAGAAGACGGATAGTATAGAATAGAATCTTTTTATTGGCTCGACAATTTGACCGACTAACTTTTCATTAACGTATAAGAAATCTTCAATTCAATATATTAAAACTATAACTTTGTCAACTCTTATTTATGATTAAATTCAATAATTACGATTTAACCTCCACCTTATGCGTCACACAATACTCTAATAGTTTACTTCATGCATGCGATCAACGTGCACGTTATTATTTACGCACATATTCACCGACTTATATTACATAGCAATAACAAATAACCCATGATACGACGTCGAGTATAGGAAGTGCGTCGTAGATATCTTTGATCACCGATCCCCTTCACCTCGTCCACTACCATCCAACGACGAAGCCCTTCAATTATTGACGACGAAATCTGACAAGTGACAAACCAACAAACAAATATGAATGTCGTCATCTGTTTCAATAAACATAGGTGTTATATAGTAATGATGCTTTAATGTACAATTTAAAGTTGTGCCATAACATAAAATGTGTAGGTTTAGGTTGTACCATAGAGCAATTTGTACCATTTATGTTATAGTATAACTTTACAACTTGAAGTTGTACCATCACATAAAGGTACAAGTTCAAGTTGTACCATAAAAGAATTTGTACAAAAGGTATAGGTATACAATCTGAAGTTGTACCATAACATAAAGGTACAATTTCAAGTTGTACCATAAAAACAAAGCCTTATAGCACAAATACTATATAGCATTGTAAAATTTCTCGTTTTTGTTATCTGACTGTTTTTTTTTGTAATACGAGTAATCTTTTGATTCAAAAAAGTATGACGTACGTACCGCCGCACTTGGTTCCCTTGGGGATGGAGAGGCCGCACTGCCTCCCGACGTAGACGACGTGGTTCATGTCCAGCAGCGACTGCACCTCGGCGGTGAGGAGCTTCTTGCACGCGCAGCCGACGTCGGCGCCCTCGATGGCTTTACAGCACGGCGGCGAGGGGTCCCGCTGCTCCGACCCTTTCCACACGTAGTCCTTGCACTCGGTGGCCACGTCGGGGATGTTGACCCCGCACGCGTTTTCGTCGTCGTCGGCTAGCGTCGGTGCCAGGAGAAGAAGCAGCAGTAGAGCCGCCGCCGCCGCCGCCAGAACGACGCCGGATGAGGAGGAGGAGGAGGACTTCCCGGTTATAGCCATCTTTTTTTTTTCTGAGCAGTTGGTGGATTGTGTTTTTAAATTAATTTGGGTTTGTTTGTTTGTTTGTTTGTTTGTTTGATTGATTGTAGGGATTTTATAGCGGTACGAGCGGCGTGTTGATGAGGGTGCGTAGTTGATTAGGGTATTGTGGTCACGAAGATGGAATTGGTTTGGATTAATTACTTGGGAGAATCGGGTGAAATTGGTACATGATGGAATTAGTGATGAAGAAGATGAGAAGAGAATGGAAGGTGGTGGTGACTGAAATTGTGGGTTTAAAATATACTTTATGGTGGAAATTAACGGGGAGAGTGACTAAAAGTGACATGTTTTAGTAATTCGAGTGACCAAAATTGATATTAATGTTTTCTGGTGATTGAACATGACACGATTTAGTCATTTCGGTGACCAAATGTGGCATTTACCTGTTTAAAATAATAATGGATGGATGATGATTTAGTGTTAAAAAAAATATGACGGACAAGAAGAAAAATAAAAAAATGTATCTAGTTAGACATCAGATCTGTAAATATCTTGTATATTTTATTTTCATATATGAACTTTTTTTTTATTAGGGTATTTATGAAAAAGAATATAACACGTATTTCTCTTTCCCTTGATTTTTTCGGCTTAAATCGTATGTTGTGAAAAGTCGTTGAAATTTCGAGGACATGACAATTCTTTCATAAAGATGTACGTTTCCATCAAATACCAAATGAGTCGAAGGTGCTTCTTTTTTTATTATTCTTGGTTTGCGATTGAACTATGAAGTGCGGAAGTACCCACAACTATAATTGCAAAAAGAAAAGGAGGAAAACAATAAGCCAGGGTACAAAAAAATGTCGAATGCAGCACCTAAAAGTACAAAACAACACCTCAAAAAGATATGGAGATCCTATGTTCGGGTCCTAAGTAGTACTTTCATCATAAAAAATGAAATTTATATCACCTTTATAAAAAAAAACACCTCAAAAAAGGACAACAATGTTTTGTTAATTAAATTATGAATCTTTTTATGATGGAGAAATCATTTTGAATTGCGACCACTCTTAATATTCCACCAAGAAAGGCAGTGCTGCCTTTCACATGTTCGTGCGTACCTTTCATTAAATCGCAATTCACCCCAAAAGACACCTTCGAATTTACAACACTTCGACTACCCTAACTAACAATGCCCACAATCAGTGAACAGTTTGATGTAACGAGTAAACGCAGCATCCATAGCCAAGTTGAAAGCTCGGGATTTCAATTCAACACTATATTTGGATTTGGGTGATATCTACAAAAAAGAGTTTTATCATATGGTGACACAATGCCAACTATAGTCCCTTCCTTACTACAACTTCCATTGCAAATTCAAATCACCCTGAAAATACAATCAAACTGTAGTACTGGTGAAGCCTCCACCCCACACATTTAGGGGAGACAAATTGCCAGAAGACCTGTCAAGAAATGAGGAGGCAAATAATACAAGAGCCTATAGGGGCCTCAGGTGGCAAAACTCCATCTTGATGGTTTTGTTAGTAAACCCATCAGGTTCCAAATGCTCTCTGTCGGATATCCGAAAGTTGCATCGCAATGGTGTTCTCGTTACAGCGTTAGCGAGTCAGAAGTCCACATCTATCTCTACCTCCGAAGTTAGATTCAGACGGAGAGATCAAGGGTTTCCCTATCATCCGTCGTCCATAGCTAGCGAAGAATCCGGATTACCATCAGTACTTGCTTCGGTAGGATGGTGAGTGCTGCTATCTAGATGCACTTCCATTGAGCTATTGGCGTCGGCGTTAATTTCTGCATCTCCGGAAATTTGAGGTTTGTCGCTGCTGCTCCTCGTGGTTCCCACCAATGGGCAAGGAGGATGAGTGCTGCCATCTAGATGCACGTCCCTTGAGCTATTGGAGTCGGCGTTATTTTCTGCATCTCCAGAAATTTGAGGGTTGTCGCCACTGCTCCTCGTGGTTCCCACCAATGGACAAGGAGGATGAGTGCTGCCATCTAGATGCACTTCCCCTGAGCTATTTGAGTCGGCGTTATTTTCTGCATCTCCGGAGATTTGGGGTTCATCGCTGCTGCTCCTAGTTGTTCCCGCCAATGGGCAAGTAGGAGGGTTCCTTTGCCGACACGAGTGGCAACGGAATCCAATGACCATGTCAATGGTCTCGGGATCAAGCCCAAAAGCATCTCCGTGATACCATACTGCATCAGAGGAACAACAATTTGCATATTAACACAACACCATAATCAACAGTTACAAGTGGTATTAAGAAGTTGAAACAAGTATATTTTCTGCTCACCGTTGTTAAAACATAGCTTTTAGTTAAGCGAGACTGAAACAAACACACCAATAATAATGCAGTCAACAGTGTAATGCTATCAAATATGCGGGAGCAAAACCAACTAACCTTCACAAGACTCGCAAGAAATATAATTAGATGTTGATGTACTTGCTTCATCGCACAGACAGCATTTGGGTTGAGGATCCAGGACGCCACCCTGAGAAGCAGAAAAAAACCTAGAGTTCCGAAACTGTTCAACTCGTTCGTCCTCTGGCTTAGCAGACAGTAGAAGACCATTAAGCCAGTAACTATGACGAGTAAACGATCTCTTCTTCTGCCAAAGAGGACCCTCTTCCGTTTTCTTCCGGGGAACTTTTTCCAAATTCAGTTGCTTCCCCTTTTCACCCCCAACAACATTTTTGTTTGCAGGTGCTTTGGAAGTGGTTGCCTGCCGAGCTGAGCGACGCAAAGGAACAACTACTGCGGGAGACTTCTCATCATCTTCCTTCATACGAGGGGGCCGACCCCTTAAGCTCTTTCGAGGAGTAGCCGCCTTTTGATCGTCCTTCATGAGACGTGGCCTCCCCCTTGGCCTTTTTAATCCTGTTCCAGGAGGAGCCGCATTTTGATCTTTCTTTATGAGCGGTGGCCGCCCCCTTGGCCTTAATCCCATCCCAGGAGCCGCCTTTTTATCATTCTTTATGAGCGGTGGCCGGCCCCTTAAGCCCTTTCTGCCCCTTCTAAGGCGGACTGACCTGCGAGCTATGGATACCTTGGACTTCAACTGCTGAACCTTGGGATTCCCGGTGCCAATTTTCCTCATTTTTGGGCGACCCTTTCCTGCTTTTTTGCCAATCTTTAAGAGCTTCCCACTCAAGCAACGGTGGCATGTGTATGAACACTTTTCACGACTGGAAGCGCCAGACTTTCTAACATGCCTTTTATGGAAGAAATCTGAAGGAAAGAGAGAAAAAAACCATAGGCACAGGATGAGAAGAGTAGACGAAGGCAAACTCGAGCATTTAAAAAATCCATTGATAAGTGTCTGCTTAGTGCTTACCCTTGCAATATTGACAGCATACAGCCTCACTGTGAAGCAAGCAAAACCGGAAACCAAGAATGGAGTGAGCATCAAGAAAGGATAAAATAAGAATCGCAATAAGGTAACCTATAAACAACATTTAGAAGCTCTAGTAGAGAGGAAAATAGGGTGTTCAGGAAGAATGGGGAAGCTTAACTGGTTAAATTCCCCTACCAACAGGTAGCAATATTTAATGACTTCAGAAATGACACCAAAAGATAACAAAATTATACCTGCTTGGAACATCCTTTTTACAGTGTCCACATTGATGGAACTCAGATTTTTCAGCTCTTGCGAAAAGATAAGAGAATCCTCTTTTCTCTGAGGCTGATTTCGGAGTAGCATTTTCCTCAGAGAGTTTTCCAGAACTCGTCTTACTAGATTTACGTGCAACCCTTTTCTCTTCATAATTTTTCAGCAAATGCAAGGGGACAAGGCTCTCACTCAGCCAATATTTCTTCCTCTCGTTGGAAGATTCTTCAACAACAATAGACCCATATTTAGAAACGACATCAGGGATACTTCTCCTTTGGCCAAAATCAAGAAGATACTTCGTGCCACCTCCCTCAGCAGCAGACTTCCTCCGCACAATCACCTTCTTGAACAGCCTGACTGCCTTTTTATATTCCTTATCTACTGCCGACAATGAATCCCAGTTCTCAATTTCGTCCCACCTGATGTTGGAATCAAGCTCTCTGACCTGCAAACAAGTAAGAAAGCATACTCTTAAATAAAAGTAATTCAAGTTTGATCACTTTACTTCTATAATGAAAGGCAATGCTACATTGAGCAAGAGACTGTCCTATCCCTCAAGGCTTATTAGGATGAATTAAAAAAGTAAAACTACTACAATGACCAACGCCTCCTAACCCCATATGAGTGTATAAGAGACACATATTCCCAGGTGTATCGTCATTATAGGCGATCGAAAAGGCTGTCAAATGCAACTTGTCGTCCATAAATAGACAGATGGCACAAGAATAAAAATGTAGATCAAACACTTGCGTGACACCTGAAAAGGAAGATAACTTCCTACATATGAGATAAGTGATCAAGAGGACTTTGATGCATCAATTTAACAAACCTGCAAAGCAAGTAGTTCCGCATTTGAAGATGACTCGACAGCAGCTCGCCAAGCAACAGCTTTGCTTCTCTTTACAAAATCTGAATTCTCGGGGTACAATATCCCAGGTATCCTAATGCCACCACCTGCAAAATTATCAAACTTCAAAATAAATTCAGAACAATTACTCGGTTGAGAAAGCTGCAGATACTTAAAACGCCGGATAGAAGAAAGGTTTCAGACCTTGCCTAGCAGCCTTGGATGCCAAGGAGACGGGCAAAACTTTCCAACTAAATAATTTACGTGACATTTTACCACCTCTCCACCAAAACATACACAATCCACTAGTTTTATTTGAAGGACCAGACTCAGGTTCTGCAGAAGACCTGCTGCGCTTCCTGGCAACCCCAGATTTAGATGACATGCGTTGTGCAATCACAATATGAGAAGATGAGCCGAGTACAGCAGAAGAATCTACATGTTTCAACCATTCAGTGGAAATTGCACGTTGATGGATGCTTGACTCTAACTGCTCAAAATAAACCAAAACCATTAGTACAACATAATTAAACAGAAGCCACCCAAGATCTTCTTGGGATTGCTTGGGCTCTTACAAGGAATGAATGAACACATTCACTTTGGAATTTCCAAATAAGAAGCATAGAAGGCAAGGGTAACACTGCTTATTCGCCATCATCCAGAACAATATGTACTCCAAAAATTTCAACCCAACCAGAGTTCAGTTGCGAATAAGCAAACCGTCTATGTCTAGCATTCACTTTGGGATTTCCAAATTAGAAGCATAGAAGGCAAGACTAAGACTGCTTATTCGCCATCATCCAGTACAATATGTACTCAAAAAAATTTAACCGAACCAGATCTCAGTTGCGGGTAAGCAAACTGTCTACGCTACAATATTTTTTACACTAAATATGAAGTGATTAATTCATCCCTTTTACAGGGACAAATATAGAGATAAGTGTGAATCAAATAATCAACTAGAAGTTAAAGAAGAAACCATGAACTATTACCTTCAGGAGTAAACATTTCACAGATGCAATATCTGTTGCCTTGAGTATGTTTTC